GTGGGACCGATGTGCTCTGCCCCCAGTCCTGCTGCCAGAAGAGTGGCTTCTCTAGTGGCAGCTGCTCAGCAGGCTTCTGCCCTTTTCCTTTGACCACCATGACGCTTCAGGACCTGTAATTCACCAGTCTGAATTATGCAAGAACCCAAAATGTTGCTGGTGGGGTATGCAAGAGGATGCTAGAGGAGACTACACAGCGTTAGGAAGGAGTGATATCCTCCTCTGCTTTCAAACAAACTGCCCATCAGCTCGAACAACAGAGAAGCCAACTGTAGCGTGAAGGCATGAGTCCTGCATACAGATTGAAAGCTTTTGGGGAAATACCCTGGATTTTTGCCATCTCCTCCTGTTGTTTCTGAAATTAAAATCCTAACATTTTGGGTTATAAAATCATCATCATTACATCAACCAGGTTCTGACCATCAACACAAACTGCAGCTTTAAAGAGAGTAGGAGAGAAACAGCAGAGAAGTGCAGATTGCTTGAGGGATGTTCCCTCATCTCCTGTTGCTCTCCTCCTTGCATTGCCTGAGTTTTGTTCTTGCACCCCTGCCAGCTAGCGGAACAGAAAGCTCCCCATGCTTAAGAGATGTTTGCTCTTGATGGCTCTCACAGAGACCCAAATGTCCCCAACGTGCTGCTTCCCAACCTGAGAGGCTGGAGAGGATGAACTTTACTGCTTGTTGGAGCTCCAGGCAGGTGCTAGAGAAGTGGGAAGAAAATCCAGGCCACAAACCCATAATGTCACTCCACAATGAAAAACGGACCATGCTGAGATACCCACCCTTTCTCTCCCATTTGTAACCCTCTCTGCTAGATTTTGTCTGCCATTTAGCAGGAAAACTGACACGAAATGCAAGGTTTGACACAATTAGTGTTGTCTGCAGCTGGAATAGGAGTGTGGTCAGGCAACCGGTGACAATTCTGCTGCTCTATAAACTAGAATTGCAAAATGACCCGTGGGTCTTCTTAAATGTCCCAAAACTTCTCAGTATCAGACCTAGGTTCAGACAGGTATGGTAGGTGTGAAGCTGAGATGTTCTGGCAGGGAGCTGCTTCTTTCCATCCCCATTATTCAGGTTGGCTGTAACTGTTGACATCATCCAAGATGAGGTGGTGCTTGCTTGCTCAAGCTTCACTTTGGGCTGGGACCTCTCACGCATCCCAGAGGGCCATACACTCTCTCACGCTTACCCAAATCCAAGTATGGCTTTTACCTGAGGGAAGTGGGAGAAAGGAGGAGTGCTCCCAAACTCACACCTCCTTTTTCCAAGGCTACACAGTGCACAGTTTATGATCCTGTGGCTAGAAAGTGTGGATTGCAAAGGCTTCATGCGCACAAGAGGAAGGCTGCAAATTGTGCATGGGATATGAGCTTACAAGCAACTGTGATCTTTGTTCATGGTCTAAGCCAGCTCTGCCTGCCCAAAGCTCCTGCTGTACCTCAGGGACTGCATGACCAGTTAGGTCCAGTTCTTCCAGTGCAGTTTCTCCCCTCCATCTCCCCAAGCTAAATTACTTGCTATAGAGGCCAACAAAAAGACAAGGGCTCTGGCTGGCCATGACTTCAAGCCATATGAATTTAAAGGGAGAAGGAGAGGGAGGAGGAGGGGCTGTGTTCTTACATTACAGCTGCCTCTGTCGCAAGGTCCCGAGCCAAGAGGATTGTCAAGATTAGAAACATTATCTGCATTCAAATCCCTCTAGCATTATGGAATCAGAAAATACTGTAAGAGGATATATAAATGCTTGATACTGTAATGAGCAGGGGGCAACTAGCCAAGCTGCTGTGCCTCTGGCATACTCTATATTTTGCTGCCTGATGGGGTTCAAATATAGGTGTGGGAATACGTCCTCACGTGAGCACTGGTCAGACTCACCTGCTGCAGTGGAAAGCAACGAAAGCACAGGCAGGAGTGATGTTTAGCCTCTTCACAGCTAGCCCTAGAAAAAGCCACCATATGTACTGACACTGCAAAGGCCTCCTGCCTCCAGGCGCTGCCACAGTGGAAAGAGCTCCTGAGAGTCTCATGTTGCATAAAGATTTCCCTGGTGCAGGAGCCCAGTGCTCTGCAGATGGGCACAGGCTGTACTGCTCACCTCATTATCTCATTAGCAGGAAAGTCACACACTGTCGCATGCCTTCTCTTGGGACGGTCCTTTTCAGAGGAACATCTCCATACACTTGTACCCATGGTACATATGCTTCCTAGAGATAGTCTTGCTAGACACAGTCACACAAGCCCTGTCACATCAAGTGCACCTCTAGCATTACTGTGACCTTTTTTGCCTCCCAAGCCCTAATGAAGTACACACTCCCACAGCCTCACACAAAGAGGCTTTCATCACCCACATTTTGTCACCAACATTTTCTAGACATGTTTGCTTTTTTCCAGCAAGCTGCCATGATCACAGCTACACGGCTGCACCCACATCCCTCTGAAGAGTGACCTTGTGTATGCTGCATGCTCACATACATTACTCCTGATCAACGCCTCCTCTCTCAAAAACGTCCCCACTCACCCCCAACCACTTGTTGGTAGCAGGTGTTGCAACCTCACACAATGAAGTGACATTTCTGAGCTTCTTCAAACACCCCCAAGAAACCCTAACCATGCAGGAGTCAAGAACTATTGGTCTTAAACAGCCCTGACTTTGTCTGGCACGTGGCTAACCTAGCTGTAAGTATGTAGTTAGATCAAGCATGCATGGACTGGACATGACTGGACAGTCTTCCTCCCTTGGGCTTTCTGTGTTTTACTTCTGGTCACAGTGCAGCCATAGCCTCAAGCATTGACTCTGAGGAACCTCTTGCTGCTCTACACAACTTCCAACAAGTGGGGACTTGCTGACAATGTCCCCTAAAGCTGATGATCCTACAGGCTCCATCCCTTTGTCCAGTAAGGGCAGATCCCCATAATGGGGAACAGAAAACAGCTTCTCCCACCACCGCCCACTTGCAGATGTCTAGGGAGCTCACAAGAGGTGTCCATCTCTCCCTGCGTTATCAGGTATCAGCTGCTCTAATGTAGACTGCTGTGGCCTGAGCCAGGAGATGGGATGCCAGACCAGTGCTTAGGTGTCTTATCAATGAATGTGCAAATACAGACACTGCTCTGCCCCGTTCAGGCAGTATCCCCTGTAAGCATGAGCCCTGAACGTGCAACCTCACCTTTATTTCAAAGCACGGGCAGAGAGCACGGAAAGACCAGCGAGACCACGTGCATAACACAGAGCACCCCTTTTGCCTCACACGGTGGCATTTCCCCCTAAAGACAACAGGCCAGGAAGCCACAGGGGGATCAAGGTTCCAGTGATGCTGTGATGGTTGGTGGAGAATCTGTCCTTCTGGAGGGCTTCAGGACAGGCCTGGGGATGTGTATTCAGTGGAAGGGAGAAGACAACCATGTCTCCGTTGCTCCCCTTTGCCCAAGTAAGGTCCCTGAGACCTGATTGCCAGGGTGCCCGCCATCTCCCCCAGGATTTCAGAGAAGGGTGGAATGCTGCCAGCGTGGGGAGCTGGCTGGCCCCATGACACCCCAGGGTGCAGGCGAGGGGGCTGCCCCACTGCTTTTGCTCCCCGACGCCTTTAATCTCCACTCGCTCTCGCAGCGGCCTGGCGCAGGCCGAGGCTATTTATAGCAGGGGAGCCAAGGGGCCGCACAGCCATGGGGGCAGTGCTGCCGGGTGACATTCAAACCAGCTTTGAGGCCGGGGGTGTGTGTGCCAAAATGGGTCCTGGGGGAGGGTGTTCTTCATAAATCAGCCTGCCATCCCTCTGGCCATTTTTCTTCTGCCCCCCTCCAGCCTCCCACCACCGAACACAGGCAGCTGTGCCCTAATAGGGACATTCCTGTCCCAGAGGCCTCCGACCCCTCATCCCCATCATGCCTCCCTATTCAGGCAGGGTTGGCAGGGGGGACAGTAAGAAGACCATCAGTACCAGTGGCGTTCGTGGAGCAGGGAGGGAGAGGGAAGAGGAGGGGGAGATCTTACAGCTGCTTGGTGGTCATCATTACCACCTTGTAGGGTCTCTGACATGCTTGTGGTGGGGCTAAGTCAGTCATCTGGTGAGTAATGGGACTCATTTTCCAGGGTCACTGCAACTCTACGGAGCCTGTCTGGAATTCACAGGGTCTCACCCTTGGCCACTCCCACCACGGGGCACTTGCAGAGCGTCTCTCCTTTCCTCACATATCTATTTTCACAAAACAGGCAGGAACTCGATATCTTCAAGAGGCCCCTTCGTCAAAAATGGTGGGAATGGGAGGCAGTGGCTTCCGAAGCTGCAAGGAGGCAAATGCGAGCGTGGCTGGGATTAAACTCATTTCTTTAGGAAAAAGAGGGGACCAGGAACTGGGGGTGATGGAAGTCTGGCCAGGAGACCTGACTTAAAGCATTTTGTAGGAGAAGGGACTGCTTCTGCAAAGCAAGGAGTCTCTCTGCTTTATTTTTGCTGGGACCCTGCTTTGGCCACCCCATCACATGTATGAAGGAAACATGATGCTGCAGTGCCCTGCATCCCCTCCAGTTTGCAGCCAATGCTGCCTGGCACCAAACACTTTCAGAGTTATAATGTCCAGGGTCCCCACATGTCACGCTGCCCCACAGGAAGCCACTGAGACACAATGGAGGAGACAGCCTTTGGTTTGTGTCGGTGGCACAGGTCTTTCTCCCAGCCATGCCCACTGCTTTGGTGTCCCTGGTGTGGCCGTGAGCCCTCTCTCAAAGCCCAAGTGTCAAACAGCAGTTAGCAGCCTGTGGTATCACCAGAAAACTCAGTGCTGTGACACAGTGGGAAGAAACCCAACCCTTGTGACCTCTGGGCAGCGTTATCTCAGCGGGGAGGCAGCATGTGATGCATCCCACCCATTGGTGCTGCCTGAAAGCAGAATGTGGGTCATTTGTGTCTGTCGTGCCATGCTAGCAGGGCATGCTGCCCTTTAGCTGCCCTGTGCTGTTAATGCCACTAACATTGGGCTCTCTGGTTCCTCCCACAGCTGGCGGCTCAGGTTCTGGAGCCCAGGAGCATCGGCTTCGGGATGGTGGACTCCAAGAAGGATGCCAAACTTGCTAAAAAGCTAGGTGAGTCCCATATCTGATATCTCTGGAATAGCTTAGAGAGGGTGTTGGAGTGATGCCCAACAGCCAGGCCCATAGAGGACAGCCAAATCCTTGTGACCAGGATGGGGTGATGGTGGCCCTTGCACACTGAGCACCTGCCCACCCCAACATGGGCAGGATTAAGTGGGGGGGGTGAGGATGAGAGGGGTGAACCAACACCCTTCCAGCAAAAAGCTTCCTGGCAGAGAGTACTGAAAGAAACCAAAACCAAGTGAAAAGGAAAGCCAGTTCATGCCATGGCGATGACAGGGTGGAAACTCACAGCTTGCTGAGCAGAAACTGTAGATAGGTGTCATGGAGTAACTCCATGCTTTTCCTGCGCAGGGTCAGGTCTGACACAGTAGAGCAGAACCAAAACCTACAGGGACATCACATAGGCCCCCAAGTGTCACCAGTCCCATGGCAGAGTGACCCTGAGCCTCTAATGGGGGAGCAACAGCCTAGCAATTGTTTGGCAGCCAGGTGCCAACCCTTCCTGGCTTGCTTCCCAGAGCAGAAGAGGAAATCTCCTGTAAAGGTGAAAGGCTGCTGCCTTGCCCACCCCTGGACACAGCTGCCTTCTAGGGGCTGGTGCTTCCTTCGTATTTTAGCCCACAAAGCTATATGGAAATATTATGGCACATAAATACAACAGCACAAATATACCACTAGACTTAAGGTCAGAGACTGTTAAAGCATACTGAACTGTATACTGGACTGTAATTTTCTTTCCTAAATTAGAAGCTAAGTGTGCTGGTGGAAGCTAAACTAAAGCTGAGAGCTTCTGGCTCTCCAAGAAGGAGCAAACTACCAACCTCACCTTTACCTGTGGTACCCTGCCATCAATGCCTTGCAGGAGCGTAGTGCTGGTGATTTTGGAGCCTCCACTGAGGTGCTGTAGCAAGCAGTTCGCGGTCCAGTGATATACCATTCGAATCTGCCAGCCTGCCATCTGTGGCATCTCTACCATAGGTTTCTAATCCTTTTGCCAAGGCTGGCTAAGCCGCAGAGAGTTTGAAGCTTGTTTCGGCTTCCAATTCACTGTTTGTGTTCACATAGTTCTGCCTTCTCCAGGCAGAGAGCACAGCCCACATCAAAATCCATTTTCCATCTAGTGTCAGGTTGTTGAAATTTGGGATGTCAGTTAGAGCCCAGTAGTATTTACTGCAATAAACAAGTTCCTGGTACAGAATTTTTCCAACTGAGGCCAAACTGTGACCTGAACAAAAAAAGTTCAACACTTGGGAAGAGACTTGCACAAGCTCTGGTTGAGGCCTGTCCCTCCTGCTGTGAAACATCAGTCAGGAGATGGCTCAGGTTGTTTCTAACTGGGCCAACACAGTGAATTGGCAATCGCATTTTCCCAGGAGGTGTTGCCAGAATGACAATCAAGATACTGTGTAGTAAAAATGCTTTTAGTGACCTGTTGACCACATGTCCTGGTTTTAGCTGGGGAAGAGTTAATTTTCTTTCTAGTGATTGCTGTTTTTCCTGTCTCCTTCTTCCAGGCTTGGTTGAAGAGGGAAGTCTCTATGTCTTTAAGGAAGAGCGATTGATTGAATTTGATGGGGAACTGGCCACAGATGTCTTGGTGGAATTTCTCTTGGATGTAAGCACAGATAAGCGCAGAGCTAGATAAAACCTCTTAGAGAAGACCTTGCAAATACTCACTTTGCTAAAAACCACGGCTTTATCTTTATTTGAAATTCCATCCCTATTTGCTACACTCTGGTAGAGGTGACACTTTCCAGCTTCCCAAATACTTGTCTGACCATGAGTTCCCAGGAAAGTGGGTACTTTTCTATGCCACCAACCACTTATATCTTAAAGACTTTTTGCTCTCTTTCCTGTTTATGGAGTATTTGATTGGAAGCAAGCAACAACCCCACATAACTAATTACTTGTCACCCACCTCAGCAAGCTGGCATGCAAACTGCCATTTGCAAAATCTTTCACTCCTTTTTTTTTAAAAAAAAAAAAGTTATTTTCAAAAATAATCCTAGAAGTAGCATTCTCATAGAGCAACTAAAAAGAGCACAATAGCTCAATTCATGGAAAAAGATACATGCTGCAAACTTCGCCCGTTTCCAGACACAACCCCACAAACAACATAGTGTACTACTGCCTCTTCAGTGAACTTACAGAATTGCACTGCCATGAATTGGAGAAGACCAATGCCCTCGGACTTAGTGCTCTCAGGTCATTTTGTGCATGGGCACAACTATGTACTCACCTTTGTGCCTAAATGCGAAAGAGATGCTGACTCCCTCATCAACATGTTGCACATCTCTTTACATTTTATGCGAACTGCCCAGAAACGTGGTCTTTGTTTTGTAGTGAAACATTTCACAGTGGCTTGGCTTTCCTTTGAAATGAGGCTCCCTTTATGGGCAGCCCTGCAATAATGCAGATAAGGGAGGCAAAGTAAGCAGTGGAGCCGGCAGGGTTTGTTTCCCAGAGTGGCAGGGGGGC